ACCAGGTACCAAGACAGTCGCAGGTGTTTCCTTTGCCTTGTCTGAAATTCCTGGCCAATTGCCACCAGATTGTTCGTAAAAAAAGTGATTTGTTTTACTTCAAGTTCAACGTACGTCAAGAGTACCGTCACGTCAGCATCATTGCTGTCTGGCTGTGCATGGAGGTAGGAGAAAATGTAGGCCTTTTAAAGTGTGACAAGTCAGTAAATTTTGAACCATGGAATTACACTATATGGAACTCTTTCCGTGCAAAGATTGAGCAATCGCACAACTGCATATCGACCGACTGTACCTAGCTTTGACATTTGAAGATGCGCCATCTATAACTTACGAGTCCACTTACCCTGCAGTGTGCAGAATGTTGGGTATGTGTTCTCTAGGTTCTAACGGATGACATGGAGTCTATAAGTCAACAGCAGAGGAAAAATGATCGAAGTGGAAGATCATTTATGGGAGACCATCGTGCATCGGACATTAAAGGACTTGTAAAAGTGGTGGGGCTTGAACCAGAATCCGATAAGTCTGCAATTCTCTTAATCTGCTATAGTTGCTTGGCTTGACACAAAATGAAACCAAAGCTTCATTAGTATATGAAATTTTAGTTTTCTTGTTACCAATTTAATTTGGAATTCTCCAAAGGTCACGTCTATTTGGACAATGCATGCTCTGTTGAAATCGCATCCCAGGGAGGAATCCGTGTCGATGAGTTCGTAGCGAGTGACAGAATGTTACAGTGGTATTGAGAGATTGTAGTTTCTTGAACTGCTTTTGTTTTTCCCCTAGCTGTCAAGGGTATCACTTGCACCTAACTTGACTACAAGACAAGATGACCCAAGGAATGTCATCAGGTAGTGGCAGGATGCGTCACCCACCAGTATTTGTATGGTGCCAGGAAGAGATTGAAAGATGACGTTGACTGAGAGACGACCATCAAATCATCCAGAGTGGAGGATGTGACTGCTGAGGTGTTGCCAAGCAAGAGGTATTTTTCATCTTGTCATTCCCTTTTCAGCTTTCCTTCTTGTTTCTTACTCTTTTTTCTTTTCACTGTCTCTTCTATTAAAGGAAGGGGGTTGTAACACTTCCACCCCAATACTCATGGTTGGCGGATGAAAGAGGAAGTTATTCACATGTACACGCTATAGTATGTGACCAAATTGAATTCTTGTTGGATGGGAAGGAGTTATTTTTAGCTTGTTGTCACTGATGTACACTTGTATTTGAACTTTTACCAACTTGAAATATGTATCATTGCACATACCATTTACATAGGGTCGGTCAACCAATAGCGTAGCTAGGATTTTACATTGGGAGGCACAAGGGGGAACCAGCATCCTATGGGGGGCACCAGCTTTCAGTGGTGTGGTGTTTGGGAGGTAAGGTTTGGTTAGCCTTGTTCAATATCCATTCGTCCATTGACTTTCATACAAGAAACTAGCAGACTAAAGAAAATATGCAAAGAAAATGTAAAGAAAACAAATTACCTGATTTTATGATCTTGTCTCGTTTTTTAGTGGGGAGCACCTGGAATTTGTGGTTGGGCACATGCCCTTCCAGAGCCCCGTGGCTACACCCATGGGGTCAACCCCTTACCAGAGTTTTGTCATGCTTAATTTGCAGAAAACACTGTTGCAGCATCGATCTTGACGTTTTTTCCTTTTGAGCCCAAGCTGAAACCTTTTCATCAAGTTTCACCAGAAAAAGTGACTGCTTTTCTCAGTTTCCACTTCCAAGCTCATCCCCCCAAAGAGGCACAAGTCTTAAAATTGTCTGTTTATTGCAAATGACTTCTTGCAGATCCAGTTTACATACAGTGTATGAATCCAGTGGCTGAATACAGCTGAACCAATCAGCCTGCCAGCCGACCAACCCGTCAA